TACTGACATTAAAATTTAAAATATTATACATATAAAAATATAGTGCTCACGTATTCCTCCTAATCAAGCCTGTAGATCATTATTTTTTTTTTTTTTTTTTTTTTTTTTTTTTTTTAAACTGTAACGCATCTTTATTAGGATTTAAATAATAAATAACACTATCCTAAATACAAAGATACTTAGAGCTAACCGTGCAAATCATCACGTGTTAACCCTATAACAGAGTATTCTGAACAAAATGACACGTTACAAATAAAATAGAAATAAATACTAATACCTGAAAGAAATCTATCTAAATAACGAAACCTAACTAAAACCTAATTTGTGTAGGAGAAAAGGGTGAAATTTGTAATATTACTAGGTCTACCTAATGTAGCTGTGAAAAGATGAGTCCCAATGGTCTCACACCCAGACAAGTTTATCCCAACATTTCCTCCTAAATCCTACAAAAAAAAAAAAAGATTAGTAAACTACTCTAAAATAAAAGAAATTGGACTACAATTTGTGGTTTAAGCCTGTAGATCATTATTAATTTTCACACTGCAAAAAATAGAAAAATGTTTGTGGAACGTGCTTACGTGCTCAATTCAGATCACGTTAAACGTAACACCTGCTTAATGTTTAAAACGTGTTTAAAACATGTTTTAAAACGCCAAAATTGTTTTAAACCATCGATAATTGCTAACCTATATTATTTTGTCGATCATACAGTTAATTATGCATAATATGCAGGTGATATTACATGTTTCTAAAAAAAAACATTATTGTCAGTTTAGGTGGTGAAAAATATAAAAATATGGAATTTTTTTAAAAAAAACTTATAAATAGATTAAATGATTATGAAATATACATATATTTTGTTTTTCGAATATTTCAGGCATCATTATTATTTCCATTACATAATAATAAATAAGAAAATGATGCTTTCGACATTGTCGATCTAAATTATGAAAAAATATTTTTGTGATTGGGTGTTTAAATGATCGATCTAATTAATTTCGTACATACCAAGAAATGTTGTGTATCATCACTACAGATCTTTGTTACACTTTGGACTAATAATTCCGGACATCATGTTACATTAATCACAGGGTGATAACAGATAATAAAATGATAGTTAACAATCAAATGGAATGGTACATGTGTTAATGAGTAGTAATTCAGATATGACGATCAGTTTTTATTCAAATGTACGTTAAGAATATTATTGGCTCTGAATAAATGTCCAAGCAAATTTTTCTCGAAAGTAAAATGGCTAAATAACTTTTTATTGAAAATAAAAGTTAGTTCTATGAAAGATTCGAAAATCTATCCAAAAAACTGGGTAGAATTAACGGAGACTTAAAAGAACTCGCAAAAAACCTTTTCCAAACTTAAACATGCGTACAACTAATAGTAAAATTTTCTAAAATCACCTGACCTCTGCATACCTATTTGAGGGATATATATAACGAAAATTCAGTGGACGACCTGACTATGCGTCAACTTGTGCATCGGTTGACTATGGCCAAGGTCATGCTTACATAATCGATGATCATCTATCGCCTAATCAAAGAAACATAACATTCTAACTAAAATAATCTAATAAATGTCCTAACAATATAATCTACTGTGTTGTTTCATTTGTTAGATTTTATAGTGTTACAATATAAAACAAAAGTTTAATTGTTTTTATTATTTTTATTATATTAATTTGTTAACTAAATCTATACATTTCACCGGTGATTAATAATTACTTCGGACGGAAATGATCAACAATTACAAGCGTATGTGGTATGTCACATGTATACATAAGTATTGTCTGAAAATAGTTTTTTTTTTATTACTAAAAAAATTTTTTAACCGTAACCTAATAGGTAAAAGGTGAAGCAAAGTAGTAATCTCAATGAGCTCTTTTATCAAGTGTACTAAGAAAACAACTAAGTCATGCGATTGTGATTATAAATGTAATGCAACACGTTTTAAACAAAATTTTAAAAATTGGACTAGTGGTAATAAAGATATTGATAAATTCATTCAAGGTACTCAGCTGTCAGAACATTCAATCTGTGGAATAGAAAATGCATTGGAATGGATACCTTATGATAGATTTTATAGCATTCAATATATTTCAGAAGGCCGATTTGGCAAAGTATATAGAGCAAATTGGACTGATGGACATATGAATTTTTGGAGCGACGGAAATCAAAATTGGAAAAGAGAAGATCAAAATATGTTTGTGATTCTGAAAAGTATAGATAATATAAACATTGTAAAATTTATTAACAAGGTAAAATTGATTTATCACCTAATGTAATTTTAACTTTTACTAACACATATTTTTAGATTATTATATACTATAATGATAAAGATCAGAATGGAAGAAGTCTTAAATTCTTAGAAAATTTTTTCTTCCATAATCATCTACAATTTAATAATGCAAATAATGTCGCATCAAAAATTAAAAATGAGGTATATTAAATTATTAATTAAAATTGGGCAATTTTATCTTACTAATATATAATCAATATTTGTAGATTGCAATACATGATAAAATTTATGGAATAACTCAAGATCCAAAAACCATGAATTATATGATGGTTTTGAACACTATATGTAAAAAATGTAAATCTGTATGTAATGCAATATATCAACAAAATCCGAATTGGACTAGTGGCGATGATATTATTGATAAATACATTCAAGATACTCAGTTATCAAAACATAATAGTTATTTTGAATGGATACCTTATGATAGATTTTATGGCGTTAAATATACTGCAAAGGGCGAGTTAGACAAAGCGTATATAGCAAATTGGATTGATGGATATATAGATAAATGGGATAATTCTACTAAAAATTGGAAAAGAAAAGGACAAAACATGTTTGTGATTCTGAAAACTAGAGATAGTCTAAATATTGAGGTATAATAGATTGTTTTTTTTCAAAAAAAAAAAATAAGCATTTCTTTATAAAATATACTATCCCAAATAATCACTACACAAGAAATACTCAGACCGTTGTACATACGGATAGGAACTGACTCGCTCGGTTCGTTCCAGTTCTAATTGAACGGACTGACTTGAGCCAGTTCAAATTGGATGAACGATTTAGTCAGTTTGGTACCAAAATTTGTTAGAACCGATTTAGAACTGAAAGTACTGATCAAACTGCTCAACCGCGAACTTTTTCCATCCCTAGTTATACAATAGATAAATACGAAATATTATAAATTTGTTGTTTAATGAAATTTTAATTTTTATTCACATATTTTAGATTTCGACATACTATCGAAATCGAAATACTTCCACTATATGCATATCTACGAAAAGTTCTTTTGATAATGCTGCATCAAAAATTAATAATGAGGTATATTAAAATTATTATTTAATGAAATTTGTGGAAATTTAATCATATTAATATATTCGATTTATAGGTTGAAATGCATCATCAAATTTATGGAATGACTCAAGATCCAGAAACTAAGAATTATATGGTTGTTTTGAATGCAAGATATAACTGTATGTGTAATAAACAAAATTTTGAAAGTTGTAATGCGAAACATTTTCAAAAAAAATTTAAAAATTGGACTAGTGGTAATGATGATATTGATAAATTCATTCAAGATACTCAGTTTTTGGCTCATTATAATATAAGCAAAGCATTAGAATGGATACCTTATAATAAATTTCGTAATATTAAATATATTGCAAAAAATGGTTTGGGTGAGGTATATAGAGCAAATTGGATTGATGGATATATAAGTAAATGGGATATTAAATATCAAAATTGGAAAAGAGAAGACAAAAATATGTTTGTAGTTCTGAAAAGTTTAAATGATCCAAAAAATATTTCATTAAAATCTATTGAAGAGGTCAGTATTAATAAATTATCCAATGAAATTTTTAGATATTATAACTTTAACTAGTATATTATATTTACTGTATTATTGTAATTGTAGATTGCAGCACCATATAAGGTTTATGGAATAACTCAAGATCCAAAAACAAAGAATTATATGATGGCTTTAAGTTGTAGTAAATGTGAAAAATGTGAAAGTGCATGCAATGCAATATACTTTCAACAAAATTTTGAAAGTTGGACTAGTGGTAATGATGATATTGATAAGTTCATTCAAAAAACCCAGCTTTCAGCTCATTATGATGTAAGCAAATCATTAGAATGGATATCTTATAGTAGATTTTGTAATGTTAAATATATTGCAAAAAATGATTTTGGCGAGGCGTATAGAGCAAATTGGATTGATGGATATATACATAAATGGAATAATGAATATCAAAATTGGAATAGAAAAGATCAAAATATGCTTGTAGCTCTGAAAAGTTTAATTGATCTAGAAAAATATATTGAAAAGGTACGATTATTATTTCATAAAATTATTAGATATTCTAATTTTTATTAATATATTGTATTTATTGTATTATAATTGTACAGTATAAAGTTTATGGAATAACTCAAGATCCAAAAACAAAGAATTATATGATGGTTTTGAACAAAATATGTGATGAATGTAAATGTGTGTGTAATGCAATGCATTTTAAACAATATTTTAAAAGTTGGACTAGTGGTAATGATTATATTGATAAATTTATTCAAAATACTCAGCTATCAGCACATACAGCCTATGGAGCACGAAATGCATTAGAATGGATTCCTTATGATAGATTTCATGGCATTAAATACATTGCAAAAGGTGGATTTGGTAAAGTGTATGGAGCAAATTTGGTTGATGGATATATAGGTGAATGGAATGAAAATCGGAAAAGAAGTGAACATAAATTTGTGGCTCTGAAAATCTTAAATAATTCACAAAATATTTCACTTGATTTTGTGAATGAGGTATGAATTTATTAAACTAATAAGGAAAATGAAGTGAAAGCTTATATAATTATTATTTTTTTTTTTTTTTGTAGATTACATTACATCATCAAGTAAATAATAATGTTAATGTTATTAAACTTTATGGAATAACTCAAGATCCTGAAACAAAACATTATATAATGGTTTTAGAATATGCAAGCAAGGGAAGTTTACGAAATTATTTAGATACAAATTATAATACATTAAGTTGGAAAGATAAACTTCTTCATTTTTGTCATATTGCATCTGGACTCGTAGATATTCATAGAAATGAATTAATCCATCGAGACTTTCATATTGGCAATGTATTAGTGTCTAATTTTGTAAAAATAGCTGATTTGGGATTATGTAAACCTGCAGACTACAGTGCATTAGAAAATACAAGAAAAAATGTCTATGGTGTTTTACCTTATGTGGCTCCTGAAATTATACGAGGATATGATTACACTAAAGCCGCTGATATTTATAGTTTCGGAATAATTATGTATGAAGTAATTTCTGGATTACCTCCATATCATGATGTAAGCCATAATGAAATGTTAGCAATAAAGATTTGTAAAGGACTCAGACCAACATTTAATATTAAAGTACCTCAATTGATCGTGCAATTAATTAAAAGATGTTTGGATGCAAATCCAGTAAATCGTCCAACAGCAAAAGAAATTGAAGAAATTACGAAAATATGGTGGCATGAACCAACAGCAGAATTACAAAAGCAAATTAAAGAAGCAGAAAAGATAAATAAAAATATATCAATTATTAGTATTATACCTTCAGCTAGTTTACGAATATCATACAAAACACATTCAGATGCTATTTATACGAGTAGATTGCTTAATTTTAACAATCTTCCTGAACAAAAAAATTCTGATGATTATTATGAACAAAATGATAATATAATTAGCAATGAGTTTTTAGGTATTGTTTAATAATATGTTTAAAAAATTATTAATTATTGTACTACTAATTAAATTTAATCTATTGGATAGAATCCTTACAAATTGATATTTCTCAATTGAATATTGATGATAGCGATAAACTTTCTAAACCAAAAAATTCTGATGATTATGAACAGAATGATGATAATATGATAAGTAAAGAAGATTTAGGTATTATCTAATAATTTATTATTTCAAAAAAATCATTAAAAATACTGAGACTTATATAGTAATAATAATCAAATTTACTCTATTGGATAGAATCCTTACAAATTGATATTTCTCAATTGAACGATTTAGTGAGTGTATAAGTTTAATTTTATTACATTAACTTTTGCTTTTCATTATATTAATATTTTGCTTAATTTATTATTATTTTTTTCTCTAGACCAAAACAGGGAATCTAAAGGCAAAGATAAAATCTAGGATAAAAGCTGTTATTAAGTAGTTTATGTTGTCATCCTGGTTTGTATTAAGTTACTAATAGAAATTATAATATATATATATTGTTTAGTTTTAATACTAGTATTATTATTTTCAAGTTATTTTTCGTCATTATAATTTATAAATTCTGTTTAACGTTTAGTATAAGGTGATGGGCAATCTTTTTTTTTTTTTTCTTTTCTATAGTTTTTGAATTGCTTTTTTTTTTAAAAAAAAGGGGGACGAAAATAACGTTAAACAGAGTTTTAAATTATAATGTCCTTAAGTTATATTTTATTTATTTTATTGATTAAATAGAACCGTTAAAATTAAATAAATGACGTACACTATATGACGTAACAAATACTGCCGGAAATAAGTAATCCCGAAATTAAGCAACGCTGGCCAGAATTATCATGCTTTGACCAGAATTATGGTAACCTTCGGCCAGAGTTAATAGGTGTTGCTTATTCGAATATAGATTGACATGTAAAGATTGTGTGCGAAATAGTAACAAATAATTCTTCCATGAGTTTTCGATTGAATACACGAAACCATGAATTGAGTGGTGTTAAACAGGTATAGGTATAAGGTAGTTATCCATATAAAAAATTTTTCAGAAAATGATCACGTGTCTGGGTTTCTTCGGAATTAAAACTAGAAAATGATCATTTATCGGAGTTTTTACCAGAATTTTTTTTTATAGGGTATGTGAATTAAATTAATACTGACGTTATAATATTAACAATATTGTACAGTCAGCCCTTTCTATAGCGAATGATACAACGAATCTTTAATGTGGTACGCATTAAATCACATGAAAAAAAAATTGTTACACCGAATTTTACTAATAAAATGGTGTATAACGTTGAACGAAGAAAAACTTATAAATTCACAGATGTAGGTGACCCTTTTTATGACGAATTTCTTTTAAAACGATTTTTTTTTTTTAATATAACAAAGATTTTTGCAAGATAAATTTTAATATAAAGGGTAGTTTGATGCTGGATTTGTAGAATTTTTCTCAAATAAGCAATTTTACCACTTTTAATTCATTTTATCAAAAGATGGATGAATTATGTTTCGAATCATGAGCATGACGTTTTACAAGTATTTTCCTCTATTTTACTGCATTATACCAAATTTTTCCGCTATACGGAATAATTCTTAACAAATTTTCTCATAACGAAGGCCTGATCGACCCGGACGCCTACTTCGTTATATCGGGTGCCGACCGACGACCGTACCCTCATATAAAAAGTACCGTGTTCGCAACTGGCCGAAGTTAACATTAACGCCATTAACGTGCAAGTCCATAACTCCCAAACTCGGGCACCCCACTGTACCACTGTACGACTGTTACGTTAAGGACGCCCGTGTGACATATCACAGATCAGCAGAAATTAATTCCGGCCGATGACAAAATCTGGGACAATTGACCAGGATTGTAGATCACTATTCTTTACGCTGCGCAGATTGACAGATTGTTATACCCATGTGATTGATGATCAATCACGTTTAAATCATTATTAGGCGATTGTTTAATAATCCCAATTCCCACGTTGTAAAAATAGAATTTTTTACGATTATTATTATTTATAGAAATATCATTTAAATAATGAAAAAAAAATGAAGAAGTTGAAAAATTAATAACCAATTTTATTAAATCTATAAAATCAATCATTTTAAAATTTTTTGTATGATGATGATTGATAATAAAAAAAAAAATGATATTGTGAAACATGCCTCGACTCAGGTCACGTTAACATAACAATATAACACCTGATAATATAACAGCGGTGATAACCGAAATTTGTAACCATCTACCCCACCCCATCTATAATTTTCATTTTGTAACAATAAAAACGCCATTTAAATTATACACAAAAACATCTTTTTTTTTTTTTTAATACAAACATATAAATAATGTAGTACGTAATTTTGATTTTTTTTATATTTTTAATTTTTAATTTTCCTAGATTTTAATTTTAAAGGAAAATATCATAAAAAGAAATTCATCTCTTAACTAAACTAGGTTTAAAGTTGAAAGTTTTTAGAAAATCACAGCCACACTTTATCTCATTATTCTATTCCGTACAACTATTCATCGCATCGAAATCCTAAATCAAAATCTATTTTTTGTATAACTAACTTTAAATAATACATTACATTAATATTATTATTATGTTATGTTATAATTATATTATATTATATAATATTATATTATATTATATTATATTATATTATAAATAATAAATTTAAAAAATATTTTTAATTAGTAATACATTTTGAAAGAAACCTATTAAAGTCATACAATTTATGATAATTTTGGTTAATAATTTTTTTTTAGTATTTTTTCAAAATTAGTTCAATAAAAAAATTTTTTTTTAAAAATATGAAAATCATTCGATCTCATTTTTTACAAGTTTCTATTGTTTTAATACCTTAATATGGTACAATAAAAAAATTTAAAGATATCGTTGTTATGAGTAATTATGAAACGTTTCAAAAAAATTAAATAATATTAATAATATTTATTAGTTTTATATATTTTGTATTTCTTTTTTGATTTTAATAGCAAAAAAAATAAATAAATAATAAAGAAAATAATAAATAAAAAAATTGTATTGTTAAATCAAATTTATATAAATAGGTAATAAAATATATTATAAAAGGAAATGAAAGGCGTATGAGAATAATAAATAAAGCTTATAAAGTAAAAAAAAAAGTAAAAAAAAAATATATATATATTGTTTCTGATGCCATATTGACCATCATGAAACTAAAAAGAAAAAAGTTATTAATTTTTATTAATTTTTCCTTCCGCCCCCACATTTTTTCTTTCCACACTTTCTCACTTTCTACTTAAAATGGTAAAACTTATAAAAAAAACATTCTCATGCATGAATTTAAAATTTTTCCACGCAAAAAAAAAAAAAAAAAAAAAAAAAAAATTTATT